CCCGCACTTCCCCCCCTCCGCCCACCACTCACCGTCGATGTCCCCCAGGGTCAGCTCGTCGCCCAGCTCCGTGAGCGTCTCCATGGTCTCCAGACCGCCCAGCTCGCTGCTCTCGTCCATCGCCCGGCTTGGCACAGAAGACCCCCTGCCGTCCCGCTCAGGGAGACGCGGGGGTGGTGCCGCCGTCACCGCCCATGACACCCAACAGCCCCGGCCCGGTACCGCCTCACCGGCCGGTGCCAGCCGCCGCCATGTTTGCGCCGTGCGGGAGGGGCGGGCGGATTCCCCCGCCCAACCCGCGCCCTCTGTGGCCCCGCCCCCAGACCGCGCACCCCCTTGTTTGTTGTCAATGGGACCAGGCTGGTCACGGCCAATCCGCGCGCGAAGCGGCGCGTGGGGTGATGGCGCGTCAACGATCAGCAGCTCAGATTTGCATAACGAGGCCCTGCCCCTGGTGGCCTCTTAGCGAATGCGGAGAGACGCCTCCGAGCCCTCAGCCCCACCTCCTTCCCCTTGTTTAAAGGAGCCTCTCCCTTTTCTGTTGGTTCGAATCCACAAGCTACTCCATCCACCCGCTGGGGGTGGAAGGGTTAATATGTTCCACTCCCGCCCGCTGGGCGACCCCAAAGCCAGCCGAGAGCACATTACGTCATCTTCCCAGCTGTTTCCCTCCCCTGAACCCCGTCCAGCCCACATGGGAGAGCCGGTGGAATCAAATCTGGACCCCTAACACTGGGGCCTGGAGTCTGGAAATCGTTCCAGTCGCGTTCATCCCAACTCCGTTACAAAGGCGGCTACGAAGGCTCGCGAATTGCCTAAGTGCAGAGCGTATTTTACAATCTCTGCGCCTTTGCACCTGCCGCTACCACATGCTTACTCCAACGGCCTGAGCCCGGTACCTCAGAATCTCCTGCAGTCCTTTAAAATGTCAGTGCCCAGAACCACCACAGGCCTCCTGAGCATTTTAACAAAGTTCCGCAGGGATTCCGAGGTGCAACCCACACACGGAGTCCCACTCCTTCAATCACCTCACTTCCCCGTCTTGCAGCTGGTCACGATGTAAACAAATGTGCAAGTTTATAGGAATATACACTAAGGAATGAAAAAAGTACAAGTGCTTAGAGAAGTACGCAAGTATGGTGTTTAAAAACGTTCATCACAAAGTCCAGTGTCACTGGGAAAAACTGGGAAGCCAAATAAGGACCCAATGAATAAATTACCTCCACACAATGGAATACCATGGCATTAAACATTACATACAGAAATGTGTATCTGTTGGCAAACAATTTCACAATTATATTGTTAAAAGGGAAAGTGTTTTCTTCTAGTCTGTGAGAGGCAGCTGTTGCTTGGTAGTCAAGACTTAAATGTTCACAGGCTGTGTGGAAGCAGACATGTGGATCCTCTTAGGCACGGTGTGACTCTGCTGGTTAAGTAACTGGTCTGAACCACAGTCTTCTTACCTCTAAAATGGGGGGAATAGTGCCCCTCATAGTTGTGAAGATTGAGAGGTCATTTGCACATTTATTTGACAGTATTTATTGAATATCTCTGTGGCAGGGAAAGAGTTCCTGCCCTCTAAGAGCTTCCAGTCCGGTGAAGAAATCAGACATTGATATTCAAGATGAAACCTAAAATTATCAGGTGAGAACTGTGTCTTGTATAGCCAGCAGAACAGACGACACAAAGGCCCTGAGGCAGGAGCTGATGCAAGCCAACACTTGGGATAAGGCCTGATGCACAGTTAGTACAAGGTAGCTATTGTAATTGAAAAAATAGGGATCTGTGTGTCACACGAAGGACAAAAAGGATGGAACAGCTGAGTGTCAAGTTATGGTTATGGGAGTGGTGGGATTTAGGATGAATTTTCCTTTCTTCCTGGTATTTCAGTATTGTTTAAATACGTTTATAGTGAAGATGTATAACACAATAAATAAAGTACCTTATTTTGAGGGAAAAAAAGACAAGAATGTCTTCTTGTTTACATGCAGGGGAGTAGCTATAGATTATACTAGTCTCACCCTGAAACAAAAAGCCAAACCCTACTGCCCTGCTCTGGACCAGGCACTGAGCTGGACAGTGCCACCTTCAACAGCACCATTCAGGGGCTCTCCCAGGGCCCCCCTCACTGTGGGGGTGACTATCTGCTGGCATACCATATGGCTCACTTTCACTTGGGTCTAATGTCTTCCCACCCCAGAGTCTCAGTAACCCTCTATAGGGTTGAGTACCAGGAGAGCAGGAAAGTGGGCACAGTGCCTCCCACTCTGCAGCTGTTCCCACGGCGCCCAGCTGGACCTGCCCTGGGAGGAGAGCAGAGTGGTTCTGTTTGTATCTTTGAAGGTGTCAGATGGGAAAACTTTTAAGTTTACACCGATTTAAGGGTGAAAGGAAGGGATCAAGATGGAGAGAGGTGTAGGTGTAGAAGGAAGAACCCAGGAGGACAGAGGCGCTAGATGCGGCAGAGATGAAGACAAGTAAGATCAGGCCCCTCTCTTCGCTGTGCATACAGGGGGTGCCCAGCAAATATATAGGATGAACAAAGAACCACCAGAGAAGGGCACTTGTCACTGAGAAGCCAGGCCCAACCTCAGAGAAACAGTTTAGGGCTTAGCAGAGGGGTTCAGACATCATCAAATTCATTATGCCAATGAAGCCACAGCACAGGGAAGGGGTGGGCCAGAGCCACTCAGCAAGTCTGATGGGCTGAGATAAGACTCTAGGTCTCCCTTGGGCTCTGTCAGTGGTGGGGGGCTGGGGATAGTTGCATGTCTCCCCTTTTCAGAGGCAGACCCTGACTGGCAAAGTCAAAGAGACAGAGCTAGAATTCCTACTAGAGCTCCTCCCTCTGTGCCTGGGAGGGACATGACTAAAGGGCAGCTGCCCACTGCCCTGGTCGTGGGTTGCACACCTCCTGACACAGGGAGCTTGCTGTCTGACCAGCCCAGCTGAGGGCAGCCCTACCATCACAAAACACAGCCTTCTGCAGAACTGCAGCCTGTCCCTGAACAGCCCCTACCCACAGACCGAGGGTCGCCCAGCACTGCCAGAGAGAACAAGTCAATTCTTCCTGCACCTGCTCAATGACTGTCCCTGGATATCTGAGGACAGAGATTATGTTGCTCCATGGCTGTCTTGGGCTAAATACTCTCCCAGGAAACCTTGGTCCCTTCCCAACACTGACCCGTTGTCAAGGACAGTACTGAGAAGGAAACAGGAGGCCAAAGCCAAGTCCCTGCTTCACTGCCAGGGCCTGAGGCTCATCCTGATGAGGAAGGAACATCCTCTAAACTGGTCTGTACATCTGAGAGCCCCTGATCCCCCCACCCAGGCCCCTCCGACCTGCTCCATGAAGGGGCTCACAGCTCCCTGCGGCCCAAACCAGCCTCGGTTAGCCCAGAGGGTTTGCTGGCTTTTATTGTGTCTCTGTAGGGGGCTAGAACCTGTGCGGGCAACTCAGCAACACACAGAGGCCGGCAGCAGGCAGGACACCTCCACACACAGCTCAGACCCCAGTTCTGCTGCCTCCCCACACAGGGCAGCAGCTAGCTGGCCAGTGGTCCTAACCCACCAGGAGAGTCCAGCCCAGGATCCCTCCTGCTTCCAACATCTCCACAGGGTTAGGTCTGCAGCATAGCGCCCTCTGAAAGCTCCCTTGGCACCCCTCGAGACAGATCCCTGGGAGGAAATCCAGCCCTCTTCAGCCTAGTCCCTTCAGCTGGGGCTCAGAGCCGGCTTCAGGGGCCGAGTAAACTCGACCTCTCCTCTCACAGTGGCCAGCTCTCACCACCAGTTGATGCCACAGCATTCTCCTCTTCCTCCTGACTGGCCCCTTGAACCTTGGGCTGCTCCAGGGCTATAACTCAGACTGGGATCTCGAGATCCGTGGGCCTTTTCGGATCTCTTTCCTCTTCTCCTCTTTCTTCCGGCGTTTCTCCTCTTCTCTCAGGGCCTTCTGGAAAGGGTCAGTGCTGGAGATGAACTGAGGGAAGAGCAGAATGGTCTGATTAAGTCTAAAGGGTTTGCTCTGAGCCAGGCTGCTGTGGGCTGTGGGGACAGGAAGGTCATTTAGACACAGGCCTTGCCCTCAGGGAGCCCACAGACATGGAGATAGTTAAATGGGCTTGGGGAAAAATGCCAAGTGAGTCTTGAAAGATAAGCAGGAGCCTGCCAAGCAAACAGGGTGAGGGAAAAGGACACTCCAGGCAGAGGGACAGGTGCTGAGGTGTGAACCTGCATGGGGCATCTGAGAAACAATAAGCAGACTCCACTCATGGTGAAGGGGATAAGTGCTCAAAACAACAGTTAACAAAGAGGTTAAACTGGCAGACCCTGAAAAAGAGGTGGAAAGAAGACACGATGGTGCCCAGGTTCATGGTTTCCATAGTGGGTGCCTGGTGGTGCCCAGTGGGGAGATGGGAACACAAGGCGAGCTGGGGAGGAGGACTTCAGCTGGGGCCATCCCCAGGCCCTCTGCTTTTCTTCCTCCACTCTCCAGACCAGCTCATCTAAATCCATGGCTTTTGTTATGCCTCTCTGGTCAGATTCTCCCTCAAATTTGCATCTCCCTATCTAAATGCCTGACACCTCACACGAGGATGTGCAAACATGTCCCAAACTCGGCATGGGTGGAGAGGATAGCTCAGTGGTAGAGTGCCTGCCTAGCATGCACAAGGTCCTGGGTACAATCTCCAGTACCTCCACTTAAAAAATAAATAAATAAATAAACCTAATTACCTCCTCCCCTAAAAAAAGGCAAACAGCATGACTCCATCACTTCCAGAGTCCCTGTCCTCATGAACGGCAGTGCCCCACATCCCAGTCTAGGCAAGTAAAGCAGAGACCAAGCATCCTCTCCACCACCCCATCCACACAGCCCTTTTGCCAGGGCCTGGCCCATTTTAACCCCTAAGCCTCAAACCCATCTATTTCTCTCCATCTCTCCTATCCTATCACTACTGCCATTCCCACCCCCACCTCTCTCCTGATAACTCTGGGCACCTCCAAGCCTCTCTCCACACCCATTTTGGTCCCTTTTACGCCATTCTCCTCACTGCAGTTAGATCTTTTCAAGACATAAATCTCACTCCTGTGTAAACCCTTCCACAACTCTCCATTACTCTCAGGACAAAGTTCCACCCAGCTGAATCTGCAGGCCCACCCTGCCCACCTCTCCTCCTCCCTCACTTCTGGTTCTTGGATCCCTTTGCTTCCACTTCCAGGCCTCTGCACATGCTGTGGTCCAAGCCCAGAATGCTCCTCCCAGCCCCCACTCTCTCTGCCACATAAGCTCCAGTTCAGCTGTCACCATCCTTAGGAACCTGCCCTGACTCCCAGCTGACGCTGCCTCCTCTGTTTTCTTCTCAGTGTTTCTCCCTGTGACCTCCTGCCCCTTGTGATCACCTGCTTCATGCCTGTCACCCCTATTGGATGCCACTCTCCACGAGGACAGGCAGATCATGTCAGGTGTTGCTCACTGCCACAAGTCCCTAGTGCAGGGCCTGGCTGGCTTATAGACGGCACTCAGTATATATTATTTTAAATGAATCATGTTAGAATATGAAATACAACAGTACCCAAAACTCAGGTAACTGTTGTGAAATGTGCCCATTTTATTTGTTCATAGGGTAAGTCTGATAAATGTTTCATCAAGGTAGACATTTAAAACAAACTAGGAGCTCCACCTTGTGGGTTAGATTGAACCACAAGGCTGGAAGATTAGGTGAAGTCAGAAAAGTTCAGCCCAGAGGGTAAGTGATCAGCCCAAGTTACACAGTAAGTGGGAGGCCCACCTGGGACTGGCCCCAGGCCTCCCACCTCCCTGCCCAAACCCAGTGCTTTCCCTACCATACTCTGCCTCCTATCCCTATGAGTTAATTATGATCCTCTTGGGAGGAACGAGGAGCCAGAAGACCGCTCAGGTCACAGAGAACCCCATATTTTCTGGCTCTGGCTGGAGAAGGACAAGTGAAGGATCCTGGCCCCTCCAGCCTCAGCTAATTGGGTCAGAAGAGAAACACTGCTTATTCCCTTCCTAGGTCCCTTCCCCTCTAGGCCTGGCTGACGCCTACTTTAAATTCCTGATGCTAACCTTGGGCAGGCCCTTCATGCTGCCTGGCAATTCAGGATGTTTGCCTGGCCCACTCCCTCCTGCTCTTTTAGACATACCTTCTCCTGAGCCTCCATCACTCCTCCCTTCCTCACTCGAAGACCAAGAGCTTGCTTCCTGTTTCATAGAGAATAGAAATACTCCGAAGACAACTTTCACAAGCTCCCACTGTCACACCCACCACCCTATTTGCTTCTGTGCCCACACTGCTCCTCCAGGCAAGGCCATCTCTTCCCCTGGGCACCAGGCCTTCCCTCTCTCCTCTCTTCCCCAGGGATGAGGCTCTAGCAACTCTCCTACCCTTGCACCATCTTCCTGTTCTTCCTCCCCAGTGGGTGTATACTACCAACATGCAAATGTGCTACAGTCGCTCCCACCTGACTAAATTTCCCCTGGAACCCACACCCTCCTCCAGCTATTCTCCTGCTGGTTTGTTCCCCTTGAAAAAAAAAACTCTTCATGATAAGCAACAAGGATATATTGTATAGACCAGGGAATTATAGCCATTATCCTGTAATAACTTTTAATGGAGCATAATCTGTAAAAATACTGAGTCACTACGCTGTACACCTGAAACTAACATAAAAAAGAATGTGAAAAGGAATACACGTATGGATACGTATGACTGAAACATGCTATACACCAGAAAGTGATACACGGTAAACTGACTATACTTCAATGTTTTTTTAAAGGCAAAAAATAAATAAATAAATAAATAAATAAATAAGAAAGAAAAAAGAAAAATTCTTCAAAGAGTCTGAGTTCACCTGTACTTGATATATCCTCTTCCCTTTCTCTCATTCTCTCGAAACCCAGTCTTCTGTCCCCACCACTCCACCAAAACCACCAAAATAGCTTGTATTGAGATCTCTGATGGCCTGTCTCCATATTGCTAAATCCAGTGGCTGATTCTCAGTCTCATTGCCCTTGACTCTCAAGCAGCGTTTGACAAACAGATCACTCCCTCCTCCATGTTACTTTTCTCATGGCCTCTGGGAAACTATTCTCTCTTGGGTTTGCTACTATCAAACTGACTGATCCTGGGGGTGGGTGGGTATAGCTCAGTGGTAGAGCACATGCTTAGCAAGCACAAGGTCTTGGGTTCAATCCCCAGTATCTCCATTTAAAAAAAAAAAAGGAAGAAAATTTAAAAACAAAAAACCGCCTGATCCATCTCTGGGTGCTTTGCTAGTTCCTCATCATTCTCCCATCTCTAACTTCAGGCACACCCCAGGCCTCAGTCCTGAGACCACTGCTCTATCTGCCCTGCCCTCCCACCACCAACATAATCAGTACCCTCCTCATGGGCATGACTTTCACATTTATAGCTCTAGCTTCAACGTCTCCCCCAAAATCTAGTCATATATCCAGTTACCTCCCTGACATCTTCATTCAGACACCCATCAGGTCTAGAAATAAGGCCTTGAACCCGAGCCAGCCCTCAACCTGGTCCCACCAGTTTGCCCATTTTGGAAAATGATAGTCCCATTCTTCTACATGCTCAAGCCGAAAATCACTGAGTCATCCATCTGTCTCAGTCCACATCTGCTCCCTCAGTAAATCTTACTGACTCTACCTTCAAAACAGAACTAAATTCTCACCATTTCTCACCAGCCCTACTGTTGTCACCTGGTTCAAGCCACCATTAACTCCTAGACCAGCACAGCAGCTGGTCCTCACCAGTGTCCGTCTCCACGCTGGTCCCCAGACTACTCCCCACACAGCAGCCAGGCTGATCCTAAAAAGAGATAAATCATAGTCCCTTACCCTGCTATGTGTCTTGGAGTAAATGCCAAAGCCCTTGAGAATACCTGCAAGGGTCTTGTGATCTGGCCTACAACTCTGACCTCACCTTCTCACACTCCCCACCCCTCCAAATATGCTCTATCTCATGGCCTTTGCACTTGCTGCTCCTTCAGCCTGAAATGTTCTTCCCCTAGAGGCAGAGCTGGCTCCCTTGCTTCTTTCAGGCCTTTTCAGTTAGGACCTTCTGTGTCCAAGTCACATGAAACAACAACTGCATCCCGACCTAATTCCTGAAATACCTTGCCAAATCCCTCTGCCTTTTTCTCCACAGCCCTTGTCACCACCTACCAAATTATATGTATTTTTATTGACTGTCTATCTCCTCCAACTAGAATGCCATTCCCAGGAGGGTAGGGCTAGAGAGCTTCTCTAGTGGCTGGGATTCAGTAGACACTCACTAAATGTTGAATGAATGCATGTGCTATGTCTCTGAGACTTTGTGTAAGTTAGTCCCTCTGCCTGAAAGTTCTTCCCTGAGCTGATCCACCTGGCAACTCTTACTTATCCCAGAGCCTCCACCACCTATATCCGCAGACTCCCTCTCATGGGTCCCCTGGCTCATCGGGCTTCCCTCTTCCACTGGCAGTGATCACGCTGGATTGGGACTATGTTTCCCAACTGTCTTTCACAAAAGACTGTGAGCATCTGAAGAGTGAGAAGAGGGCCAGTTCCCTCTGGACAGGGACAGTAGCCAGCGCAAAGCCTGATACAAGTTAGTGATGGGTATATTAGTAGGAGAGGACTCTTGGAACACTCATCAGTATAGAAGGAGTGTACCAAGGGAGCTGAGCAAACCTGGGCTATTGCTGTTGAACAGGTCCATGCTAGATACCAAAAAGTGAGTAAAATCTTGGGACTGTCCCCAGCCAATAAGAAGTAAGGAAGTATGTTGCATCTATGGTTATCTCTAAGTATAGCACATTATGATAAAGCTAAACTAAATCTATCCTAGAAACCATTCTCTCATGTAGCCCATACTCTCACCCCACTCCTGTGTGAGAGGCATTAATGACTTGCAGGGCAAGGAGAGTGCCATAGCAAAAAGAATTATCTCCACAGGTGCCCCCTCATTGGGAAAGGCAAACTGCCATGGCCTTGGGCATCCCTGCATGTTCTCGCCAGGTACACCAAGAACTCAGCCCTGACTGTTCCTACCCGGGCCATTCATTTATCAGGGTTGTGACTGCAGCAAGTAACCTTGCATGATGTGTCATCTTGGTTTTACACGAAGGTTTGTTTTTACATCTTGGTTTACATGAAGGTTGGTTTTACAGCTATGCTAGTGTGGAAAACTGTATCCCCAACTCTGCCACCTGAAGCAAAGCCATTAGCTCAACAGGGCCCACAGAGGTGCCCCTAAATACTCAGGCCTGTCCACTGATTGTTTACCTAAATTAAGAGCTAATGGTCCAGTGCAAAAGAGTTAATTTAACATAGCCGGGCTGACTGCTGTTCTTTGGAAGGCCTGCTTCCACGGTTGGCCCTTGGCTGGCATCTGGGAACCTGGATTCTGGGAGGGCTCACACCACCCTAACTGATAAGAGTGGCGCACTGTGCCTAAACTGTTTTTGTAAACAATGTGGTTTATGCTAAACACTTGCTTTCCTTCTGGAGTTTGGAATTTTGGTAAGTTCTAGGCAGAGGGTGCCTATAAAAACTCTGGGCACTGAGTCTTTAATGGGCTTCCCTGATAGACAGCTTTGCATACATGTTTTAATAACCCGTTGCTGGGGGAACAGTGTGTCCTGTGTGACTTCACTGGGAGAGACTCATGGACATTTGTGCCTGGTTTCCTCAGACTTCACCCCAGGAGGTCAATTTTACTGTGTATCCTTTCACGGTGTGAACCATGGCCCTGAATACGACTACACACTGTGAGTCCTCCTAACAAATCATCAACCTAGGGGTGGTTCTGGGAACCCTCGACACAGGTTTCTGTGGGCAGCAGCAGCAGCCATCCAGCCCCAGTGATGACGCTGGAAGACCAACTGCCACAAAGGTCAGTAAGATAACAATCAATTAAAAGCCATCACTCTTGCCTAGATGATATTCCTAATGACCAGGCATGTTATATTCTTACTGACTGTTGTCAGTGTCCTAGCCATCTGGTCTGCCAGATGACTAGGCTACAAACTGGCAGATCAAAGATGGCCATCCTTCTTTGGGGTCATGATCTATGAAAACAAATTGTGGTTGACAACTGAACAGTCTGGGTCACTCATTTAGATGCCCATAGCAAGACCGATTGTCTGATGAGACCAACCAGAATCAAAATGCTGACTGAGCCTACAATGCCCAGTTGACTGGGATTGCTGCCTGCATGCATTATCGTACTAGATATGGCAATAAACCCGCCATGGTGTATTGTCATGAACTGAAACATAGCAGAGGACTCTGTATTTCTGGTTCAACTACCCAGAGTCCCTGGGGAACAGTATGGCCCGGAAGCATTAGAATAATGACCCCTTAGTTGAGTATAGTGACTCACGTCCATGATGGGAGACATAATGTGTACCTGGAAATTTTGCAAAAATGACCTTGTCGCATTCACATATAACTCTTCTGGATAAAAAGCCTAGGTCACAGAAGGGAATAACTGGAGAAAAGTGAAATTATAGGTCATAGGATGTGACACATTGATTTTGTAGCAATAATCTGGGGAGTGAATGCTCTAGATCCCAGAAGGTGCATGGAACAATGAATCTTCTTTGTGCCCTTAGATCCAGCACTTGGCAAAACAATCCTAGGGTCCGTCCAAGCAAGTGGCAGCTGCAGCTGACAATCAGGCCAGCTGCTCGTTGTGTCATTCTCAACCATGCAACAGGAAAACTCACATAGACACTGTCAGTTCTGAACTATTCTGCTGTGCCTGATGCCATCACAGGCAGCTCCTGAAGTAACTCTGCGCAGACACACAGACCAGTACAACCTTGTTTCAATCTGACAGATACAAATCCATCTGCTTCTCCTGATCCCGAGCAGCCTTGGGTTATGCCATGTGGGGAACTGAGGCTGCAATGCTGCAGTAACATTCCCCCCAGGGCTCAGCCAAACAATGTAATGGTGACCCAAATCAAGTGGTAACATGTGGAGACACCGGGCATGGAATGCCTCTCCACTGGGGATGACAGATGCCTTGGGTCCATCTATTGGCCCCTTTAATCACTGGCAATGACACCAAAGATCAGCAGATCAGTCTAAACTTTCGTGTAAGTGGTAATGAGTAACAGATTGGCCTTAGACCATATTCTGATTGTCTAACGTAAGGCCCACTGGCCCCCGCAGGACTTACCACAGCTGGCTGAGGCCAGGACCCTAGAGTATGTGGCTGAGACCAGCACTGCGGTGGGCTTGTCCTGATGCCTACAGTCCTACTGATGGCAGTCTGAGACAAACTCCACAAATCTGGTCCCAGTCTCCACCAATTAGATTAATCAGATGGAATAGGATATTCATGCAGAAATCTGAGTTAAGCCGAGACATGTAGGGCTGATGGACAGAATGTGGGGGAGGCGATCTTCTATGGCCCCAAGCGTCCCTGCACATTCTTGCTGGGTACACCTGACCACTCTGTACCTGGGCCATATCTCAGTTGTGCTTGCAGGGATAATGTCTGTCCCCAAACAAAGTTTGCTTCTGCTTCACTATAAAGGTGGTGAATTTCCCAAGCTTGGTGTTCTTCAACTTGATGCAAATCCACTGAATGCACAGCATCTGCCTGGGCCCTTCTGTGTCACCCCCTGGGACTTGGGGAATAAGCAAAACCCACATGACCAAGTCAAAGCAACTGCTTTTGCTGTAATAAACTCAGATGTCTCTGACCTGTTAGCATCCATGAAACAACAGCAGTCTAGCTTGTTATCCTGAAAGCTGGGTAAAATCCTCCCCCTCTCATGGACCCTGGCGCTCCTCCCTACACCTGGGGAGGGCCAGTCCTCTAGCCTTTCCTTTCTGCCCTTCTGTTCCTGCTCTGCCACCTCTGATCTCTTCCTTCCCTCTACTGTGTGTCCCCCTCTGTCCGGCTACCCTTGTAGCCTCCAGCCCTCAGAGACTACACCACTTCAGCCCCCAGGATGAGAACATGTGCAGAAATATGGGGCAGAAGCCCAGCTAGGTGCTCTGAGGCTCAAGGGCAGAGAGGCATGGCCTGACCTCCCCTGGTTTCCCTGACATTCACCTGCTGTGAATCGTGCCTATTGTGCACTGGTATGGATGTATTCACAGCCTCTGACCGCCCCTCATGGCTGAGGTCCACACCCCATGAACAGATGGGGAGCTGAGGCTAAAACAAAGCCAGTAGCTTGCCCAAAGGCATCAGTGAGTGAGTGACAGTTCCTGGACCCAGATACAGGCATGTCTGACTCCAAGTCCGCCCTCACGCTCCACCCTAGGTGCCCCAGCCCCTGAAGACCCTGGCCTCCCACAGCTCAGCAGAGGCAAAGCAAACATGGCCACAGGCCCCAGCAGCTCACCTCTGTGCGGTCTACTTTAAATGGGTTCTGGAAGTCAGAGTCTTTCTCGCTGATCCCCAGCTCCTGGGCCATCTGCGGATGAGGAAAAGCTAGTCATCCTCCGCCTTCTCCTGCCTCCTGCTCACCCACAGGCCACTCCCTCCAAGCCTTAAGCCAGGTGATGACCCCTGGGTACCCAGGTCAGCACAGAGCCCCTTGAAATGGCACCTCAAGGAGACTTATCACAAAAAATAGAACCAGGGCCGACATCCAGGCCCCACTGAAGGCAGATGCATGACTCATGGCACATTACCAGAGAGAGGGCTCCCAGATCTCCTTCACCCCAGTCCTTACCAGGCTGAGGATGGGCGAGTGGGGCCCCTGGTCAAAGACGCCCGACTGGTTGCAGAAGCTGATGCCCCAGCGGATGAGAAGGTTCCAGTTGGAGTTGTGGTCAAAGTAGTGGTGCACAATCTTTGGGAAGCGCAGCACCACATCACCGAAGAAGGCCGTGTTCTCCACCACTTGGGAGAAAGCTGGCGAGAGGACCCTGATGAGTGGTCAGGGGAGGTGCCCTTCTACAGCCTTCCTAACCAGCCCTGTGCACCCTCTGGAGAACAGGGGCAAGACCACTAATCAGGCTGCTGACCACATGTGCAGTGCATGCTAAGGGCTTTATGTCCACCACCATCGAATCATCAAAACCACCTTTAGAGGGAGATGTGGCTGCTATGCCCATTTTACAGACAGGAAACTGAAGTTGTCAGCTAGTAAGCAGCAAACCTCAGGTGCAAACCCAGGTCTGTCGGACTCCAAACACCTTAATTCTTCCCCTGTACCTCACAGATTAGAAGTCTCGTTTGCCATGGGGACCAGAGAGGTGGGTGTCATTTTGCACATGGAGGCATATGCATCTCATGAGGCTTTGCTGGGCCCAACCTCCGCAACTTGGTATCCTAATGTCCAGAGCTGGGCCCTGGTGTTAACCACAACTACAGGGTCTATGAGGGGTCAGTTCTGTTAGGATGGCCAGGGAACATGGCCAGGGGTCAGGGTTTGTTTTCTTTTTAGTATATGTCCAATTTTATTTTATTTTAAATGCTTAAGTTCTTACTTTGAAATTTTTTTAATACTTTTAGACTTACATAATACACCATAAAATTCCTTCACTCAGCTTCCTCTGTTATCATCCTACATAACCACTGTACAACTATCTAAACCAGGAAATTAACACTGATACAATACTATTAACTAATCCATAGGCCTCATTTAAATTTGGCCAGTTATCCCACTAATATCCTTCCTCCCGTCAACAGATCAGTGTAGACTGAGTTTACTGTCCATGATGGTGGCAGGTCCCCCTGACCCAGGCTAGCATAAAGAATAGTAACTATACACCCACCCCTGGTGGCAGCCCCTATTTGAGTGACTGCTATAGATAAGGCCCAGTCAGCTCTCACCAGCAATGGCCACATCAGAGAGATAAGTGGGCTCCTCCAAAGATACACCAGGTTAGGGCTAAGATAAGTAGGGTAGGGATCCCTGGCTTCAGAACAATCTTGAACTGCAAAGAATTCAGGAATTCACTTGGTTTATAGGTAAGAGCCAGGGCAAACCACCTGTCCTCTTTCATCGGGAAACCAGAGGTAATAATGCCTTCCTCAGTTATAGTGGAGATTAGAGATTATATTTGTAAAGCGCCCAACACTCAGTATGTAAAGGCTACTTTCGTCCTGTCTTAGTGTAACCTAAAAAATCTTGTTAGAATATAACCAGTTAATGGGGAGAAATTACCACTGGAGAGAAATTCTTGGAAGAAAAGATGAAGGAACACAGGATAGTCTTTTATTTATATAGGTCCCATCTCTTCTCAAAAAGATTTAAGGGGGTTGAGGCTTTTAGAACAGTAGTAAGGAGTGCTGTTAACTACTCCCGTGGGGCAGACAGTTCAATAGCCCTGAGTTTTTTCTCCTATAAATGGGAACAACCCTTGCTTTCTCTACCAGAAGGGTCAGAGTGGTGAAGAAGGCAAGGATTCCTGGAGTAGCAGTGGGCAAAGGCTCCTCCCTGATTCCCCTGCCCCGAGCACAGGACAGCATTTTAGAATATATCTGTGTCAGGGACATAGAAACTGGCTCTGAAAGGAGCCCAGAAACACTTGGAAAATCATATACTAAGTGCCCATCCACCCACGGGGACCGCTTAGAAGGTGCCACAAGAGGGTACTTCCAGAGGAAAAAAAGTGACAAGAATAGGAGGGAAGAAGCAGCTAGAGAATATCAAGGTGGTGGAAGGGGAGAGGGCAAGATCAGGAAGACCATACCATCTTTCAGTTTCTCGTCCTGGGGGAAGGGGCCATCTGGGAGCACATCTGCAGCAATGAGCACTGTCCGGGAGTCCTCCAGCACCTGAGGGAACCCCACCTGGGCTGAGTGGCTTTGCAAAGGTCTTCCCAGACCGGCCCCAGCCCCATTTACTTAAACACTACTTCAAATCTGCTGTGCATGCAGCTCCCCTCATTGAACACTATCCCCTTAGGGAAATCCTACTCATCCATCAGTGCCCAGATCAAAGACTAGGCCTGCTGTGAATTGCACCCCCTGCCTGCATGCACCTTAAAGAGCCCCCTGAGCATCACATCAAGGATCTTGTACTGCTGGTAGACATCATTCAGCTGTGCTAGATTTTTCAGTGCCAACAACTGCTCTCGTCGCTTCACCTCAAACATCTTCTTGTCTGAGCAACATTAAGTTAAGGAGCTGGCATCAATTCTCCTGCCTGGATAATCTAGTGGTTCTGATTCAGAGGGCCCATTCCTGGCCAGCAAGTATCTGCAAGGGGCATAGATGTGCATGTCTGGGAACCTCCATCCCCTTCCCCCAGGGAAGGAATAAACTGCCTGAGAAGCATATGAATCCTTCAACATATCATTCATCCATTTTGCAGAGGATTCCATACCCAACAGGCTGAATACAACCTTCAGGATCTGGATCCCACTGTCCTCTTCCCCTGGTCTTTCCACCATCTCCAACAGCCATTCACTGCTCCCGGAACCTCTGCTTCTCTCCTCACACTGTACACTCTACCTGGGATGCCCCTCACCATTTTCTATGAGTTTCTATTCTTTCAAGACGCAGTTCTTGAGTAGGAGGCCCAGTATGCCAGAGCTTGGTCTCCACCCAGGATCTCACCCACAAGGTGCTAGGCACATGTACAATCTTCACAGTCCTCATGGCTCTGAGAGATGTGCCTTGCCTTCTCAATTTAACGTTTGGGGAAACTGAGGCTCAGAAGAGGACTGACTTGATCAAGGTTTGGTTAGAGCACTTTACCTCTTCTCCCCTGTTCCCATCATGGGGTCTGCTCCATCCCTGGAATCCCGCAAGTGGCTATGGGTATCCAGAGACCTCATTTGTAGACCTTTCAGAAACAGCTCATTAATACTACCTCTAATCTCAAAGGATACAGATCTCCAGGCTCGGGTCCAGGGAGGTCCTCAGAGTACCTGTGACTCCTGTTCCAGACAGAAGCAGGACAGAGAGGAAGGCCAGGAACTGCAGAAAGTCCATATCCAAGACCCTAGAGCTAGGGGAGTAATCCAGAGAAAGAAGGTGAGACTCAAAGCTTGGTGTTATATAAAACAGAAAGTGAGGCGAAGAGCAACTTCTCCTGACATAGCACCGACTCCGAATACCAAGAGCCCAGCTTTGGGAATCCCTGTTTTCCACCCAGTCCCTAGCCCAGGGCCTGTGACCAACAAACACACAGTAAAGACGTGGGATGGTAGGAAGGAAGGAGGAAGATAAACGTCAGCAATGGGAGCATGTTTAGGGAACAGGGATCAATGTCTGGAGCTCTGTGCTGGAGCCCTGGCTCTGCTTTATTGCAGGATCTCCAGCAAATTGCTCAGCCTCTCTGCAAAATAGGAATAAGATCACCTCCCTGTTGCAGGGAGGGAGGACTGGGTGAGACACTGTGCCTGGGGAAGGAGGGCCTGGTCAGTATCATTCCCTCTCAATTCCCCCATCCTGGCTTCTCAGGAAGGTACCTAATTAAGGAGGCCCAGGCAGTCAGAGATGTGAAACTTCTGGGGTTTCCCTCATCCCTGACTTCTGTCATCAGAAAGGAAGAAGGGATGCAAGGCGGAAAGGGAAACAAGGCAGTCTTGGGGTAAGAGGGCTGCTACTCACTCTTTGGAACCAGAGGCACCACAAGTAACAACTGTGCCTATTCAGGCAGCATTCCCCAATTATTTGAGTACCTATCATGTTCTAGAGCTTGGAATACAGCGGTGAATCAAACAAACAAAATTCCCTGCACCTATAGGTTAAGAGACAATTAATAAACTTGTAAAACAAGCACAGAAGGATGAGAAGGAGTCAGCGAGGTGAAATGTTAAATACAGCAGTCAGAGGAGGCCTCAACTCGGATGACAGCTGCCCAGTTTTACCAATGTGGAGACCGAGGCACAGAAAAATGAGGTGACTGCCCAAAGACACTCATCGATTCCCAGGCTAAACCAAGAGTCTGAATGCACATAGGCTATCTCAGAGCTGGCCACTGTTCTACCAGGACATCTGCCCCAAGGGAGACATGCTCAGTTATGGACAGTGAGATCCCGCAGAGGTCAACAGAGGACCGCCTCTACCCAACGCAGATGAGACAACTGAAGCCTAGAGATGGGAAGTAGTTCAAGTTCACCCAGAACCCCTACCTTCCAATGTCACACTCCAAATACAACAGAACCAAACCCTGGTTAAGGCAGAACTTGGGGCCAGGAGATATCAGACAGCCAGTAATGACTGAAGCAGGGAAGAAGCGGGTAAAGAAAGCCGAAAAAGACTGCGTGGGGGCAGATTCTGCTTCCTCTACTGTTACTCCCACTTCTCCGGCCTCTCAATCCCGCTCCCCTCCCGATGAATCCCCACAGCTCTTCTCGGCTCGGCATGCGACTCTGAACTTATTCTGCAGGAGTGGCGCGGTGGTGGGTCCTGAGCTGGGTACCCGGTCTCGCGGACCAGGGTGCTGCCCCGATCCTTTAGGGCACCGGGAGGAGAGTCTTTCCAATGAGGAGAGATGTCTAGCTAGGTCTGTCAATACCACCTCCCACCCGCAGCAGCCGGTTCTGATCCCTCGGTCCCTGCCCACCCCCACCCCCCACCGCCGGGTGCCTGCCAGGCCGGCGCCCCCGCCCCCGCCCCCACCTACCTGGTCAGGCGGGCAGGTAGGCAGACGGTCGGTGTACAGCTCGACTTCAGGATGCGCGACCGACTAGCAGAAGCGCGGAAGCTGAGTACCGTGAACAGCAGCTCAGGAACCACCGAGTGCCGCCCCGCCCACCGCGCCGCCGGACCAATGAGCGCGGGCCGCGACGGCCGCTCCCTGGCCTCATTTCCGGCCCTGCCCCGTAGGCTCCGGCGCGTATCCTGCGCGCTGTCGGCCGGAGCCTAGTCCCGCCCACCCTGCGAAGAGACTCGGCGCACGTGTTAAGGTCGGGTTGGAGGAGTCAGCCTGAAGTCTCTTCCTAACGTAAAGGTCGCGTCAGTATACTGGAGCTTTGACCCCTGTCGGCCGGGCGACCTTCCCCGCGCCCTCCTCGAAACTGTTTAGTCAGCTGAGTGTTTTTTAAACTGCAGTTGGCAAGATCAGTTTAGTGGGTAGTGACTAACATTTTTTTCAAGTAACGTGCAGTGCAGAGTTGGGGTAATCCCTGCTGCTTGCCCCTCCGGCCCACAAAGTTCTAAACCAAGTTCATCGGGTCCTTCCCTGTCCAACCGTTCGGATGGAGTTCAGCCCAGTTTTGTGTAGAGTCAGTAGAGCCAGACCCGAGGAAGGGCTAGCCGGTTAAAGGCACCAGGGCCCTGGCAGACAGGCGGGAAGGCAGCTAAAGGTCCCTGTGAGCTGAGCTCAGAACAGGAGCCGGCCGTTGTGGAGGGCAGACATTAAAAGAACCGCACATGTGGGTACACAAATGCAAGGTCTGAGTAGGACCGGGAGGGAAAGAAACACAGGGGACCAACTTTATTCAGGGCAGGGCTGCACTGGAACAGTTCCCTCAGCTGGGAAGGCTGAGACGGTCTCGACCTGCTCACCTTCCTTGCCTGAAAACTGTACCTCTCTCCACCTTCACCTGAGGTGAGGTAGCAGGTAAAGTAACTCCCAGAGCACTTGGATCACAGCAGCACCTTTCTCTACCCCTCCATCCAGGAGGATGGCCTTATGGGTGTTTTCAACTTAAGCAACCAGCTGGTGCTGGTGTTACCAGAACAAGTCCCATGCCCCTTCTCTTCTTGAGAAGGCCATCCATACTGGCTGAGGAGCCAGCTAGAGGGAGCCAAGTTGAAATGTTTTTGGAGAGCTCACACAGGCATGTGAGTGTATCATTTTATTTCCTGATTCTATTTCAACAATGGAGAAATGGCTCCAGATGAATAGCTGCAATTGTAATCCATTTTCCTCAAACCATTGTGCCCAGACTTTGTCTTCTCCAGGTTTCAGTTCTCTCCATTTCTGGGCTTTCAGTTCCTGAGGGTCAGTCTCTGATGTGGGACAGGGATACAGCCACCCCTCCTAGGCAGCTGGTAGCAAAACATGAGAGGAGAACAGCAAACAGGTGGGACCAACCATGGGAGAACCACAGTCCCAGGGCCCAGAAGGGACAAAAATGGTCAGACAAGAGCAGAGGTGCTCCTGAAAATAGTGGGATGGATATTAAAATTGGGACCTGAACACCTGGGCTAGGTAGTTGCTATACTTCAGGGAACTGTTTCATGGAAGGAGGAAGAAGTAGAGCCAGGGTGGCAGCTAGTAGGGGTGAGGAGGAGGCACCCTCCCCCCAACACACACATCTCTACACCAAAGGGTCTCTGGATCACCACAACAACCCCTCAGAGGGCCTGTGACCACTGCCCACAGCCCCAGGCTTTCTCAGAGAAAAGCCAGTCACCCAGCACCCACTGGGGTCAAATCCTGATGCTATCACTGTGATTCTGGGCCCTTCTTTTAACCTCTCTGGTCTAAGTTACAGCTGTCTTAACATTCCTAGCTACAGTGAAGATTAGATACGGTGCATGTAATGTGACTGGCCCTTGATAGGGACTTAATAAACAGAATAAGTCATTGTTACTACTACCATTGTTAACTATTCTCACCATCCCCTGCTTGCTTTAGAGGACAGGGCATAGACAGTGCACTTCTCTATCCTGAAGCATGATGCCACAGCCTCCCATAGCTGGGTGGCCAAACCTCCCAGATGCAAGAAAGGATACAGCATGTCCTGCAGAGGTGGCGGGGCCTTGGAGGCCCTGGGGGAAAGGCCCTCCAGGGAAGCCTGCAGGGTCTGGGCCATGCTGTGATCAGCCAGAAGGCCCATGCTCTGGACCTGAGGGGAGAGGAGGGTAGGGAAGGCTTTCTCAGTGCCCACTCCATACAGGCCCTCTCTACCCTCCACCCACTGCAATCCTGACTGGCTGCTATGGCCAGAGTTCCTACCCTCCACAAAGAAGACGGTATAGAGGGATCAAGCCTCACAGTGGCTAAATGGCATCCCCTTCCCACCCACCTGCAGGAAGAAGCCACGCAGAGCCTGGAGTGTGCTGTTCGAGAGGGTAGAGAGGTCAGCCAAAGCCGCGCCATGCAGAACGTGACCCACCTCTTCACAAGAGAGGATGCTGCTGCTCCAGAACCGCAAAAACTAGCCCAGGGAGAGAGGCCCCAGACATGCAGTGATTTGGCATTGCCTTCATTCAGACATTTCTTGTGTCCCTGCCATGCTCAGCACTGGCCTGGGGACACAGATCTGAAGCCCACAGAACCCTGCCTTAAAGAAGCTCAGAGTTCATAGGCAGGTGTGGGGTTGTGACACAGACGAGTGAGGTAAATGAGGACTGCAGGACATTGAGAGCTGGCCCTGCTGACCCCTTCAGTCTCCCTACCTCCCTACCCTGACCCTGACCCTCAGCCTTGCACCTCACACTAGACTATGTGTGGTTATCCAAACATACCACCATATGCTTGTATACCTGCTGTTCTCACTTCAATATCTGGAAACTTCCTTCTCTGCCTATTAATCCTCTAAGCCTCAGCTAATATGTTACCTTCACTGCTGAATGTTCTTTCATTTTATTAAAGAAATACAGACATTAACTGAGTACTTACTACATTCTTATTCACCCCCCTCTCCCAGCTCTGGCAGAAGCAGTGACTCTTTTCTGTGTTCCAACACCAACCATTGATTTACTCATTGATCCCATTGTCATTCACAGACTCACCGCTTTGTTGTTTGTTCAATAGGCACTTAGCTATCTTCTACTCTTCCATTAGTAAAATCACATTTTAACTATTAGTTTCCTTGTCTATCTCCTTCTCTAGACTGAGGGACCATTAAAGCAGAACATTTGTCTCAGTGACGTCTTTGGTACCCAGCCTAAGATCTACCATGTGGCAGGCAGCCCCTGGTCAATGTTTCATGAGTGAGTGTACACAGAAGAATGTCCAGGTCTTTGGAGCTGAGGAGATGTGGGCATTTAGAGGAATTCACTGATCTAGCCTCTTGTAGGGTAAAGGCCCACCTAGCCCCTCTACCTTCTTAGATTAGGGCTACCAAAAGTAAAGTTTCCCTGGCCTCCTCAGGACTACCCAGCTCATGACATTCTTCAGACCACAAAACCATCCTTTCTGTACTTACCAGGGTCATGAGCCTCAAGATCTCAGGTCTGAGGAAGGAATTCTCTCCAGCATCCAGGAGGGTAAATAGCAGAAAACGATTCCAGGGCTGGGAGGCCACATGGAGTGCTGTGGGAAATACCAGTCACCCTGGGTTGTTAATGCTACCTTTCTAAAGGCCTTGAAACATTGATAAAGAGGACTTTCTCTTATTGGCTCAAAAAAGGGTTGCTCAGCTAAAGGTAGGGCATTGGACAAGCTGACCCCAGAAGGTTTCTTTTTTCCCTGGGCTTCTATCCACCTATGCTGCCTGGCTCAGGGAGACCACATATCCCACTGTTGTGGGAGGCAGGCAACAGGAAGAGCCCTGCCACTTAAGAGCTTTGTGACCTTGGTTGGGGCAAGTTGCTTGACCTCCCTGAACCATATCCAGTGTCCTCATTTGTATGACGAGCATGGCAGTGCCCTTGCAGTATTGTTAAAAGAAAATGAATGTGAATCACAGAACAGGGGATAGGCATCTGGGGTGGGAGGATGGCAGGTGCTGGCCCCCTCCAATATTCTCCAGGGGAACAGCAGAGAATGGGGAGGGTTTCTACCAACGTCTGGGCTCCGGGCGTGGAGGTAGTCAAGCAAGGCCTCCAGGCAGCCAACACAGGCATAGGACAACAGAGGGTCCTTCTGCAAGAAAACAACAAAAACAAAAAGCCCACAGAAGTTTATGTCAGGTTTTGCTACCGATGGGTTTTGATGTCAACCAAGGAAAAAACATTTGGTTTTTAAAATAATTTGGATTTCAGAATTTCAGATTTGGGATTGTGGCTCTGCAGATAATGAAAAATGTTTGTTGGTTTCATCTCACCTACACAGATGGCACAGTGCTTGTCCTGATGATCTATCTACCTCTGAGAGACTGTTTTGTTTCAGAAAAGGGTGGGCCCTGGGCCCTAGTAAGAGATTCACAGATTACAGACTCTGTAAGAGCCCCACAGTTTATCTAAGCCAATGTGTGAAGATCTTTTTTTTTTAAAGCAGCAGAACCTTTCATCAAATTAAATTTTATGCTCTAATAAGCATATGAAAAGAACTTATTAGTTATTAGGGAAATGCAAATTAAAGCCACCTTGAGATACCACACTCACCAATAGCTAAACTTGACTGACAATACCATGTCTAGAATGTGAAGCAACTGGAACTCTCATATACTTCTGGTGGGAAGGCAAAATGGTGCAGCCAGTTTGGAAAACAGTTTGAGATGGTTTCTTATAAAGTTAAACATACATACCATATGTGGTAGGCAGAATTTTAAGATGGTCCCATGAACTTTGCTCCCAGATGTTAAGCCTGTGATTAGGTTATAATACATGGCAAAGGGAGACTGAGTGGATCCAATCTAATCACACCAGTCCTTCAAAAGCAGAGTTTTCTCTGGCTGGTGGCAGAAGACCCAGAGAGACTACAAGTGTGAGAAGGACTCAACAGTCATTGACTGTTTGAAGATGGAGAGGCCATGTGAGAAAGAATGTGGGCAACCTTAGAGAGCTGAAAGAGGCCCCCAAGGAAGAAGTGGATTCTTCCCCAGATCTCCCAGATAAGCACCCAGCTTTGCAGATACCTTGATTTCAGCCTTGTGAGACCCTAAAGAAAGAAACTGGTCAGGCCCACCCAGACTTCTGATGTAGAATATTGTGAGATAGTAA